TGATACTTAGCTGCAGTGGGAAAGTGGTGGTCAAAGCAGTAGCAATCTGTCTCTAAATGACGTTTGCCGTTTGTACAAAGACGCTGGAGGCTGTATGGACAGCCGCTGCCTCGTAAGCAGTGCGTAGTCAGTTGTATGGCCTTACCAAACGGTCCAATGTTAAAGGGAACACCCGAATCTGCGTTGCTCAACTTGCTGAGCCCTTAACTGCAAGCGTATAGGGAGATCACGTGCGCCCACCTCACAGGTGCTTCGGAAGGAGTCAGAAGTGCCCAGCGCTAGCTAAGTGATGCAAATCTGGGAGAGCGTACATTTCAGAGAGAGCGAAATCTGAACCGTGACGCCCCGCGTGCAAGCGTTCTTGTTTGACTGTGTACTACTCCATACATTGTCCCTCTGTCCCTTATTTTTGTACGTGGCGGTGCCACACCAATAGAAATTTCGTTTAAAAGTCGCGCATCTTATTTTGAGTTAGGTCATATTTGGGCTTTCAGGTGGTCGCAGACTCGGTCCCTGCACACGGCAAGTTATCGTTTACTCCACTTTTCTGTCGTGACATTTACGTTGCAATTACTTCTAATAACATCCCGTATACTCTTCTTGGCACGATTGTCTATTAGATCTCATTATTATTGTGTCAAACGAAGAAAAAAACACGAGTCCTTAAATGTCAACCCCCCCCCCCCCCCCACACACACACACACCGAAAAAAAGTGACTCGCCATTCGACCTAAACAATCTTGAATCCGCTCATTTTCGTTTCACTTTCCCACAAATAAAAAAAGACCATTCATGCAGAAAAAGAAAGAAATACCGCATACACTAGAGATTTTTTTTCAGCGTGAGAAAAACACAAGAGGTTGAGGGGTCTGATTCAGCGATGCTCGTCGCATTGTTGAGGCGAATGACGCCGCAGTTTTATTGCGCTCTTTGTTTGTTGACTTTTTATCATAGTTTATTGCGAGAGAGAACATAAAGAAAGGAGCAGGCCTGGCACGCGCGAAGTTTTGCAAAAAAAAAAGAAGAAAAAAAACTCTGGTTTGGTGAACTAGCAAAGCGGGAAAGCGTGCCGCACGTACTATAGGGTTCTTTGCTATCGCTTCAATGGGCTGCGCGCGTGTCCGTCGGGGTTCATGCTCCGCGCAGTGTATGGATGAACTTTATTAATCTGACCTCTTCGATTTGAACGCTTCGGAGCACCTGACATCCTCATCTGTCTTGTTCTTGCGAATCGCACAGGTCCCACGGGCTCCAGGACCGCGGTGCACGATTGTAGTGGCCTGTACACGGTGCCAGCGAAGCATGTTGTAGGTACTCTATTGTTCTATCAGAGCGGAAGCTTTTCACGGTGTACTACAGTGAATTCGATGGAGTAAACATGGAGAGAAGCACTTCAACACTGGGCCTTATGTCACGTAAATGGAATGTAGTGGTTCAGTCGAGTAGCGCTTCTCTGTTTTTTTTTTTCTCTAAGCGAAAACGGAGTTGTGAGTTGAAGTTTCCCGAACATAATGTTTTTCTGGAGCAAACAGATATCCTTCCTTTAAACTGTTACCCTCTACCCTGCCTCTTCCAATGTCTTGATTGAAATAGGGAATTAAATGGTAACACTACTTAAGTCCTATTGGCAATTGCAGTATGGTTGAGTAAACAAGATTAATTATTAATATCTGGGCTTTGGCGTCCAAAACCAAATGATAACACTACTTAAGTCCAATTGGCAATTGTAGTATGGTTAAATAAACAAGATTAATTATTAACATCTGGGATTTTGCCAATACCAAGATATGATTATGAGAGACAACGTAGTAGAGCGCTCTGAAAATTCTGACCGCTTGTTTTTTTTTTTTTTAACGTGCACTGACTTCATATAACACACGGACTTCTGTCATTTCGCCTCTTTATAAATGCGACCGCCTCGAACAGGGTCGAACCGTGCCCTTCCGGTGAGCAGCCAATCACCGCATACCCACTGCTCCACCACGGTGGGCAATCGAATAAGATAATTTCTATACTTTGTTTACAGGCTGAGAAAACAGAAATTTCTGCGAGAGCTGGGCTATGCCATCTAACCGCTTCTGGTTCATTTGCAGTGACAGAAACAACAGCAGCACACCGTGAGCGCTGTATTTGATGCTTCGAGTATTGTAACTCGTTAGAAACAGAGGAGCAGTGTTGATAAGAACCAAGACGAAGGCATATAGGGCCAGAATTGCTGTGAGAGAGGTCGGTTAATGAGAACAGGAAAGCGATAATATGCCGACAACCGAGTTCCACAACATATGCGTGGGGACACGTGATATCCATAATATGCAAATGCAGATGTGTCACGATATGCGTGCGGCAGTATTATAAGCGAATAAGTACTAACTGGCACAATACATGGGTGATTTAACGCAATATTCCACGCTGTTTCGCCAGACATAGCGGTCACACCTTCCCTTGCTCTACACATTCCGCTGAGCGAAATTTGTATCTCAGGCTGAGGGAAACAGACCCAAAAGAACTTTATGAAGTATCGTGTTTAGAAGTGCCCCCTAAACTGAATGTGTCTATATTAAAGGATATCTTTCTTAGGGACTGGGAAAACTGCTCTTTTGAGGACTTGCACATGCTTTTATTCCGGAAATGGGTTACTTAATTTGTTATTTTTTCGGTGTCAATTTGCTTCGGCAGATTTCAAACAACTCAAGTTTATTAAACATGAAAAACTAAACTATACGCACGAAACGAGTAATAAAGGTAATAATATCTGGTGTTTTGCCTCCCAAAACAACGATACGATTACGAGAGACGCTGTAATGGAAGGCTCCGGAAATTTCGACCTTCTAGTGATCTCTTACGTGCACTTACATAGCAAAGTACACGGGCCTCTATGTATTTCCCTCCATCGAAATGCGACTGCCCAGCCGGAAACGAACCCGCGACCTTCCGAGTGAGCAGCCGAGTTCCGTAACGGCTACACCCCCACGGCGGACAAAAATCAAATTTTTCAACTAGCAAGCATTGCGTTGGACGCACGTCTTTCGAATACGGCCCTGTCCTGGTGGCAGCTGTGGCACACTTGTTACACGTGGTAATACGCGCACTCGCCTCTAGCAGAAGGGGACCTGCAGACGTCTTTTAAGAAGACGTACGACCGAGCTGTTCAGCCGAGTTGAGAGCGATGTGCTAGAAAGAAAAAGAAAAGTAGGAAGAGGGGTGCAAAGACGTACGACAGCCGCCTGCCGGATCGAGGCTGCGGGTTCCTCTGGGGCCCCGGTTCGATATCTTATCGCGATGGATGACCCGCCGTCGCCTTGGTCTGCCATCTACGCGCAATCAACCTCCTCTCTCGCCTACGGGTGCCTAACTGCCCGTTCGGTTGATGCGTGGGTGCGAAGGCCTCCACGACCAAATGGCCAGGCTCTACGGTACTGTGCCGATAAGAAGTGCAGTTGTCGCCCAAGCTGCGAAGTTAAATTTGATGACACGCGGAGTGACAAGTCAGACTCAGTGAAGTCCGTTACATTCTAAATAATATGAATAAAAGAAAACAAAGTTGCAGATACGTGATAACTTCGCGTAGTAACTGCTTGGTACATACGTTACTGCTCCGTTTGTAATTGTAGGCCATTAGGGCAAGGATAGATTATGTTACTACCCTTGTTGTTATTGTAAGAAATCATAAAGAGTTACTACTCAAGCCAATACTTTAACCATAAATACCCAAATAAAGGATGCAAGAAATAGAAACTGGTAACTGTCGCCAACGTGTTCGTTTCGCCACATCGATTGCCCGTTGTTAATAGTGGTCAAGAGCAATATTACGACATATTTCCCAGTAATCATGCACGTATTACTCTACACAGGTCCATCCTAACATTATCGGCTCACAGAAACTGTGAGAGGATGACCGAGAATCGGGTAATAGGTGAAATATTTGAAATACCAAAAGAAAATAAGAATTCGTACCGTTGGTTTAGTAAAATGACCTATGATGAGAATTAATGTTGAGGTGTTAAACACAGCAAATTCACCTGAATTCCGGAAAAGTAAAAACATCTATCGCTAGGACGTAGATGAGCTCCCGGTAAAAAATTTATCGCTTGATGACCAACGCAAAGTTATTGGCTGTGTTCCATACTACGAAAGTGACTCATCAAATTAAACGTGAATAGTGGGCGTGACCAAGCTGCTGCTGCTGATGATGAAAATTACTTAACTGTAGTGCGTTTTTGATGTAGTCGCATCATTACTCTCTCGTATATATGAAATAGGAAGGCTTCAACGCCCGCATTTCCTCAGTCATGTAAGCGCTAGCCCCTAACTTGGTGACGCATCAATATTTTACTCCATCAATGTGACAGTGAAGGCCCGATGGTTTTGCCATGGAGAGACCTCCCACCTAGTGTATAAACGGGGTACAGTTCATAAAAGAACTCAGAGTCCCTTATGATGATAATGATGATGATGATCCTCCTTGAATGCATTGGCACCTACCTATTCAGGGGCATTGCAATCGCTGGTCACGAGGTCACGACTCGAATAAGACAAACCCTCCCATCTGCTTTTTCTCGATCTCAATGTAATTATTCCCGCCCCCCCCCCCCTTCACTTTAAAAGCGTCCTGCTGAACCTTACATGCTTTCGCAGTGCCTTCAGAATCGCAGGCACTGCAAGCGTTCTGCGACTCATCTAGCCTCGGTGACCGTTCCAATTAGCAAGGCGACTACGACATGCGATGACGTCATCGTGTGACGACGTCCCGTTATGCGAAGCCATATAAGCACCGTAATGAAGGTACACATTTTAGCGATCTGTGACGTCAAGATGACGTCATACGGTGCCCTGATTACGTGGTTTCTTTGGTCACTTCGTTTCAGCCAATGCAGATGATTTTCGCGCTTGACGACGTATCTGAAGATTTCGCAATAATCAACGTTTAATCACCATCATCATATAGGCACATCATGGCCATACGCGCGTCGAAATTTCGGGTCTTGAAGAAGACCTACAGTTCATGCCGGTGCCGGCACGGTATGCTCGGTCGTACCGTAGAGGGCGTCGATATCTTTCGCGTAGAAATCCTGCAGGGGCTTCCTGCGAACCTTGAAGGTGGCCGTGACCAGTCCGGTGTCCGGTCTCCACTCGTCGGGGCAGAGCTTGAGCTTGAGCGGCACCTCGGTCTTCTGAAGCTCGCCGCTCTTGCGCGCGAACGAGAGGATAGACTCGGTGGCGGCCTTGATTACTTCGGGGTCTTCGCAGAGCTCTTTGAGGGTGAGCTTCTTTCCCACGGACTTGCCGAGGTCCACAGCCACGCGCTGCAGCTGCTGGTGGTTCGGCGCTACGAGCGCCACAAGGTACGTCTGCAGCGAACTGCCGTAGACAAGCGCGTTGTCCACGAGGGGGCACGTCTTGAGAACGGTCTCGACGTGACCCAGCGAGACGTACTCGCCGTACTGCAACTTTACCAGCTCCTTCTTGCGGTCGATGATCTTGAGCGTGCCGTCAGGGAAGATCTCTCCGATGTCTCCGGTGTAGAACCAGTGGACACCGGCCTCGTATGTGAACACCTCACGCGTGAGCTCTGGCTTCTTAAAGTAGCCCCTTGCGACGCAGGGACCCCCGACGACGACCTCACCTCGAGGATTGGGCTTGTCGAACACGCGGTACGCGCCCTCGGGCCAGTCGACCAGTCGGACGTAGGTGCCCGGAACCGGTGCTCCCACTCGACCGACGCTCGTGTCGTCGGCATCGTTGGCCGTGGCTACGGCGCACGTCTCGGTCATGCCGTACGCCTCGACCACCTGACAGCACAGGCAGGCCCGGGCGAAGCGGCGTGTTCGAGTGGACAGCGGCGCCGAGCCACACACGAGAACCTTGAGCCGCGAGCCCAGTACGCTCCTGGCGCTGTCAAAGACGAAGTAATTCAACAGGGGAGTGTCGAAGCCGCGGTCGAGCCAGTAGTTCTTGTAGTCGACCGCGTACTCGAACAACGCTTTCGAAAGGAGCCCTTTCGAGGCGACGACATCTGAGATGCTCTTGCAAATCCTGTCGACGACCAGAGGCACGGCGGCCATCTGGGTCGGCCGCAGGAGTGATGCATCTCCGCGAAAGCCCTTGGCGACGCCCGTCGATGCGTCAGTCAGGGTTAGCGCCGAGGAGAAGCCGATCGGGGTGCCGGTACCAAAGACGAGCGACTCGACGGACAGTTCGAGGACGTGCGCCAGGGGCAGGTAGGCGATGTAGGTGTCTTCTTCGGTGCAGTACGCCTGGCGGACGGCGCCGAGGCCATTGATGGCAGCGATGATGTTCCTGTGCGTCGCCACGACTCCTTTGGGTGCACCGGACGACCCGCTGGTGTACATCACGATGGCTACGTCTTCTGGCGTCGGCACGCTCTTTTCTGCCACAAAGCTCACGCTGAGGCCTTCCAGACTTGAAAATGGAACTACCTGTGATACACAAGCGCTATGATATTAGTTGTGGCGTTAGAGCACGTTTTTTTTTATTTCGTGTAAAGAAAACTGCATGCACGTGTGTTCATTCTTCAGGCAATTATTGGTGGCTCAATGAGGTGGCGCGTAGTGAATTAGCTTTTTGACTAGTACAGATATTGGCGACTCGGCACTCATTCATTTTCAACAAGAGAGAAAGAAAAGGAAAAAAAATTCCAGTATGTCACGTACGCCCTTTCACGCTCGTATTATTCATTTGGAAGAAGAGAGGAAAGAGAAGACGCTTGATTCTGTCTCCCGTATAGGGAACATGGATAATCCATACTAGTACAAGAGGGGGGGGATGGCAGCGCATACTTGCAGTGCTGTATGAACGCAATTTCAACCGTAACAGCGTCACGCCACGGGACGTTCCCTGAAAAGGTTCGACGAGACCCACTCGTCAAAACTTGTAAGCTCATAGCGACATCCCTCCTGCGACCACGTGTTACAACTTCAAGCTCACGTGCCTTGTTTGAGCGATTCTACTGCATAGACAATTAACGATATACAGTTAGCACGGACATCGTCCTGCTCGCCATATAAGGTCCTACATCGCCGAGAAGCTGCACAAGCAAGCGCTGTCTTTGTCCTTTTTTAGACAATTTTCTGATGAATCTGACGTAAGAGGCTATGTATGATGTCATGAAATATGTTCGTACAACTGACATTCGCTTCGCACCAATTTCGTTCAAGTGAAACGCTTCAGCATTGGGTCCACTGGCATTTCGGCGGCTGATTTAAAGGAAAAGTTCGTACGTGTGAAATTTTCGTTCAACCGACGACCGTTCGAGTGGTATTTCATTGCGTTTCTTATCGAGAAACTATTGAAAGTGGGTTATATGGAAGTTTTCAAGCGCTCCTCCTCTCCATGCAAATGAGAGGCGAATCACAAAACGCGTCTTCGTGCTTTTCTAAATCTCGTCGTATACCTTCTATTGCAGCCCTATCGGCCGATGTCGGCAAAACTTGGTGGATAAGTGGAAGATAGATAGCGCTGTGTTGCCACTGTGCGTTTCCCACAGTGGTATCAAGCCTTACCTTTGGAATTCGGTCTTCGACCAGCGGCAACCGGGAATCGGGATTCTCGATGCAGACAATGTGCGTCAGCGAGGGCATCCTGTTGACCAGATTTTGCACGCGCTGCAGAAGGTCCGCGGAGGTGACCAGGTGCGTAACCTCGGTCTCGTTGACGGCGCTGACGATTCCCTCGTCGCCCAGCGTGGCGTACAGCGTCACCAGCGGAATATTGCTGCGGAAGCAGGCGTGCGCCGTCAGAAGCCACTCGAGGCGAGTCTCGGCCAAGATGGCCAAGTACTGATGAGGTCTCGCACCAATCGCCCTCAGGCCTCGCGCGGTGAGCTCGATCTTACGGTCCACTTCACCGTACGTCAGCCACTGGTAGTCGCCCAGGGCCATCTTCTTGAACACCTTGCCGCTGCCAGGCTGTTTTTCTTCGGTCCGACGTAAAAAAGCCCTGGTCCCCAGAGAGCGCCTGTGAGGCCATTTCGTGATGGCTCTGCGGGCCAATTCGTCCAGAGTGGATACGCCTCTGAGAGCGTCGACTCGTTGGTTATTGCCTGTGCGCCAATACGGTGAGGACGGGTCGTCTTCCTCGACGGGCTTGGCGAAGCACTTCCTCGATCGACGCCAGTAGTTCCAAGGCCTCTGTACGACAAGGTAGAGTGGTAGCGTGAAGAACGTGTAGGCGGTGCTCAAAATTTGGACTAGTAGCAGCGTGAATCTGATTATTAACCAACGCATGGTCGAGCCGAGCAGCCCCTGCGTGTCCGCATGCAGTTCGCTGACTCCCGGCTTGGATGCTACGCGGAGCAATTTTAGACTATCGAATGTTGCGCAGGCCCGTTTGACCGTGAGGCATGATGATGATGACCTCTCTCTCTGATGGCACTTACCCACAAAGGAAGATCGTCCAAGAACCGGGCGGCAGGATTTTTAAGCTAGAAGGCTATGAGTCTAAAAACATTGAATGAAAATTTAGACTAATTATTAAGATTATAAATTATGAATGAGAAGGTCGCACGAGAAAACTGTCAGACTATTTAAATGGGTTCCAAAAATAAGAATAAATGATGTCTATGCTTGCAACAATGACGCGACGCTGAAGATGATCAGTTGTGACTGAAGAAATTATACTTATATGTAATAGTTGTTTATTGGTATCATTAAGGAGCTATCGTACCGTCCTTTTAGTTGGAAACGTATCTACTTTCTAAATATATTTATTTTCTAAAAGGTGGCAGCGTCATATGCACATTCGCTCTTGCGTTGTACGTTGCGACATGTAGCTGGAGACCAAACAAATATGGTGCAAGCCCATTGTTAAGCGAAAGTTCCTCGCTCGGTTGCTTATGACAACGACTATCCAAGGTTTAGCCTCTAATCAGATAGGAATAACTTATGTACTCAAGCCAGACTAATGAAAAGAAGATAATTTGATACGAGTTGCTAAGAATTCAGGAAGGAGACCTTGGAGAACAAAGCATGTGGATCAGATGTTTGAAAATATACGTTTTTTTTTTGTTTTGCAATCTTTCATTCGTCACTGCTTGAACTAAAATTCGCTAAATAAAATTTATTTGCGTCAGGTGCCACCCTTCGTTCATTATGTCACGCAGTGTTTAGTAGCTTTAAGTCTGACGTTTTGTTAATTCTTGTGAACTACAAAGTGGCCAATTATTGTCGCTGGTGTGGCATAGTTTTTCTAAGCTGAAACAGAAGCAACTTCACAATGACTATGCAGATAAGACTGTGTCCAATAAGCTATACTCCTTAATACTGATGGTAGGTGTTACGTAATAATGGGCCGAGTCCTAGACCAAGAATTCCATCTTTTGCTCTACTGTTCGCGCTGAACTTCTTCCTTCTCTTATACGTACTCACTTTTCCCTCTCGTCCGCAATCATCAGCAGCATATTCCCAAGGGGCCAAGGCGACCACTAGACAGTTAGCTCTGGCTGACTTGCTTCCAGAACATAACACTTTCAAAACGAGTCTGTTTTATTTGTCTGCCCAGAAGCTATATCGCAAAATAAAGATGCGCGCAACACTATACTTCCCGGGTTTCGGTTCCAGAAACACGGTTGCGTAATAGAAACCGGGGGCCCCGGACCAATAAATCCATCTTTTATTTTATTCTACCGCTCGTGTCAAAACTCTTTCTTTAGTTCTACATCCCGCAATCATCAGCAACAGTTAAAACAGAAGTTAAATCCAATGAAGTATCAGGCACCACTAAGAAAACACGTTGCATGGCTAGTTTGTAATGAAATACATACGAGGACGAAGAAAGAAGTAGACAGAGACAAAAGGAGCGAAAAACTGGAGAGAATAAAAGAGAGATATTGAGAAAAAGGAAATACACACAAACAAAGCCGGCCAATAAAATACTCACCTTCTTCTGGCTTGTAACTACCAGTGTGGCGCGACTAATATTTTGTGGGTGTGGTGAGAAGGGACCTTTCAAACTCCAGCGGCTACAAAGGCCAGGCAATACATGTTTCGCTTGAAAAATTTACAAGCTGTTAAGCGTTCAGAAAAAAAAAATAATCACAGACAGTGGACTTCAATTACTTTTGTAGAGTACATTTCAACATAACACAACACGCACAGACACACAAAATCGTTACAAAAATATTTCTATACATATGTACGTTACATGATAGGCAAAAAACACAAAGAAAACGTGAATATTTTTATTGTACGTATTCACATAGAATTTCTTCTGGTACTGAACAGACATCGGCCTACCAAAACCAGGCAGACCGAAAGACAAGCTTTACGCGTTTTTCAAAGACGAACACAAAAGGGCAGGACCAGTGTCAAAGGAATTCCTCCTCACCGAGAAAGAAGAGTTCCTCCCATAGAACATAAACTCAACCATCTGGTCTACTTCGAATTTCAGTCCTATGATGTATTATTAGCTCCATTTTTTTTCTTTTATTGATATGCCTTTATTTTATTATTATTTATTTTTGAAAGGCTATTTGCTATTCATTTTTGTTTTATTAGTAATAGGCTCATAATCACTGTATCACATAAAGGCTACTACAAGCTTTCATGGGAAATCCCACAGAGTGGGTACGTACCAGTGCTCACAGGCAACAAACAAACGAACAGATAACAGCCCTGTGAACAGTCGCTCCGAGATTGGGAAGAGAGTGAGACGGCCTGCTGTAACCACCTCGCAGTGATTGCGCCAAAGACAGCGAGAACCAGCAACAACGAGAAGACAGGCACAGCGTCCTCGACAACAGCGCCCAGATGAAACAAAGCGATTTACTCCAAGACTGCGAAATCCAGCTTGCACGGCGCTCCACAGAACACGAGCGACGACGCATTGTCTCGAAACATGCTTATTTGTTTGCCGTAGGGAGCATGTTGAGGCATGTTGCTGATTGGACCGTTTTCCGCCTTTCGAGGCAATCAAGGGTAAGAAGAACACCCCACCCCAGCCGCCGCATGAAGTCACGGAGGTGGCCAGGCAGGAAAGATGCCGGCAGCGCGTTCCAAGAGACACGCTTAGAGCGAGGCCGGCGGGCTGGAGAAACTAACGGTAGCAACAGATCAGCTGTTGTGTCAACGATAGGATTGTCTAACACATCTAACCCAGGACAGGTCGACTGGGCATGGCGATAACATGCAATAGCTGTTGCATAGAATAGAGGAGGTCTTAATGATTGTGGGTCGCTCTTAAGATGTACGTTCGACAATAAATGCCGAAGGTGAGTTTCTTGAAAAGAGTGTGCGAGTTCGCACGGGGGGTTTCTCTCCTTGTATACGGCGCATCAGAAAGCGTAGTGCCAGCAGCCGGCAACATATGGACGCTGAGAAGAAAGCAAAACGTTCCTGGGAACGCTGCTATTCTAATTCCACACAAGATATTAACTCAGTACCACCAGACCAAAGACGAAAAAAGAAACACTAAGCCGACTGCAGCAATCGTATGATGCGGAAAGGTGGTTGCACCACGTGACAGAGATACCATGTACGACCACAAATTACAGTCTGCGCGAGGTGTCAAGTGACCGAGACCTTCGGAAAAACATTTTCTAGCGTGTGACGATGCAAATCCATGCAACCAGCGTCTGTGCAACAATCCCCATAACAAAGAATTACTAAGGACAGGTTTGTTTAGAAAATATGATTAACCATTTAGAGTACTCGGTAATCTACTGCGAGAGAGCATTAAGCTATGCCGTACCAAGACCTCTGTGTTTAAGAGAGTGATGAACGATTTAGAGTACACACGGTACTACTATAGGAGAGCTGAAAGATGTTCCGTGGACCTCACACTTCATGAGGCCGCATCGAATACTCGAAAACCCCCAACATAGCCGTCTGGTCTGTGGGTTTAGAAAAAGTGTTGAACGATTTGGAGTAATTGGTACTCTACTACGGGAGAGCAGAAGCCGTCCCTTACGAAACTATTGCGTGTGTTTAGAAAAAAAAAAGTGGTGAACGATTTAGAGTGTTTGGTACTCTACTATGGGCGAGCACTAAGCCGTCCCGTGGGCCTCAGATACACAAAGGACACCTCTGTCCGGGGAACAGTGACGAGTCTGTGTTTAGAAAAAAAAAAGTTTAATCATTTCGACTACTTTGTACTCAACTATGGGAGAGCACTGAGCCGTCCCCTTGCAACTGTACGTGCAGCGACGAGTCGGTTAGAAAAAAAGTGTGTAACGATTTAGAGTACAGGGTGCTCTACTACTACTGCAGCGACGAGTCTATCAGCGGAAGGACTGCTGCGTTACTAATGGAGTCGACGTTAATGGCTTTGCGCCTTCGAACCACACACCAAAACCTCCGCAATGCCAACGGTCACAATCAGAGCTTAACTCTTCCCAAATTTCTCCGTACTGTATATAAGCATACTTTAGTGTTAAGCTTAGTTTTACTTGACACTTAGCCGTAATGTTTTAACCACACAACCGCGCAAAGCTATAAACACGACCCCAAACCTCATTTGTTTGCTTGTAATTTGATAGATTATATGCGATATGCTTCGACTAACGGGTGGACATTGCGCAGTGCTCCCGAGGAGGAGCATTGAAGAGTGGAGTTGTAATGGCGTTACGTGCAGGGTGTATCGCTATACTTCGGGTCACTTTCAAAAGTAACGAGGGGGTTTAAAGAAGAAAAAAGGACTGTAATCTGAGAAGAAAGCAAAACAGCAGACCCTTGTTATACGCAGCTTGATTTAACGCTTGCAGTATTCCAGCACTAACTTTAAAGGGACACTAAAGAGAAACAACAACTTGGTTAATATTAATAAACTGCACTCTGAGAACTGTAACGCCACATTTTTCACTACAATAAGTTCGTTATACATCGGCACTCAGTACATGATTTTTCCTTTCCCCAAGTTTCATGTTCTAGAGTGTAATAATAATAATAATATTATAATAATAAATATTGTAACCTTTCATTTAAACTTAGTTCGTTATACAGTTATCTCAAGACATCCAAATTTTGGCATGTAGGCCATGGACAAAACTGCAAGGACAGCATAAAGTCACATACATACATACATACATGCATACATACATGCATACATGCATACATGCATACATGCATACATGCATGCATACATGCATACATGCATACATGCATGCATGCATGCATACATACATGCATGCATACATACATGCATACATACATACATACATACATACATACATACATACATACATACATACACACATACATACATACATACATACATACATACATACATACAT